CTTTATATATATGTATGTACTATGTATCGTTTGGAAGTTTTAGTTTGCTATATCAAAAAATGGAGATATAAATTTAAATGTGCCAGCTTTTAATTTATGGCGATCGCATTGCAATCTCATAAAATAATTGCAATAAAAAATGGCCTTAAATTGGCCTAAAGTTACGTAATTACTTTTTATCAGTGATTTCCTGAAAAGATATAGCCTATAAATATGATCATTGGAATGCGACTTACTCATATGATATGATATATGACATATGTCGGTATATTTTATGGGTTATAATCTCACTCGTTAGTTTGGAATATCTTTTTGCAAAATGTATTATCATTATATATTTTTTTATTATTCGCGTTGGTTTTTTGAAAAAATAGTGTTCGAAATTGAAGTAGATTTTTTTTATCTATTCAGTGTTTCCGGAAAAGAATGTTACGTACTTCAGTAACGGCTCTGTAGAACGAACGGGAAGAATTTGTCCATTTTAGTTCAGACAAGAGAGTTAGGTACTAGAATAAAGTTATTTGCTATCAAAGTCAAATTTTCAGGTTTTTTATTATTATTATTATCTACTTTTTATGTTTACTACAATGAATAAAATCCAAGAAAACGTTTTTCCTTTTTTTGCAAAGGTTCGTCAACTGTATGGCGATTATGGACACGGTGCAAGGAACTTTTACTAAATCATTAACTAATAAACATTATCATCATTTTTTTTTATATTTTCTAAATTGAGTATTCTTCTTTAATATGTGTATTTTTGTGTATTTTAATTTATACATTTGTTTAATGTAAAAAAATGATAAAACGTTAATATTCAAAAAATAAGGTAAAAAATCATAGCTGTAGGTTAAAATTTCTCCCCCTACATTAAACTCACAATTGGCATTATTATATTCTAAGTCAGTAATAACATCCAATTTCGTTATAATCAGTCAAACAATAAAGGAGTAATTTTAGAAAATAAAAATTGAATTGATTTAACTTGGAACAATAACTTTTTTCTGATATTTTTTTTTTATGAACAATAGTGGCTAAATGTTTCCCTGTTTCCCGTTTGTTCTCGGAACCCGCCACTAAAGTATGTAACATTCTTTTCCGTACATCCTGTATACTTATGTTTTTACTTAACACCGTACCACTCATATATTTTTTAGTTTTTGTCCGATTTTTTTTCAAAAGATATCGTCCAGTGAGTTTAATTTTTTCAAGGCCACTTAAACATCAAAATTAAACTAAAAAATCGAAACTCATTAGACATCTTACAAGAAAATTTCATTAACGGAAAATTTTCAAATTCACTAACAAACGCTTCGTTATGAGTCAAAATATTATTATTAGTACTGATTTTTTGTTGCCAAAAGGATTATGTGACACTTCTTAATATGTACTTTATTGCTGCTATAATTACAACAAAAAAATATGTTTCAATTTGGAATGAAATTTTTACCTTTTTAAATTCAACCAAATTTTGAATTTAATCCTTTAAGATATTTTTGTGAATAAGATTTGTTGAAATCTATTTTGTATTACAAATTGTATTGTATTTAAGGCGGGTGAGTGAATCTTTGCTAATAAATTATACTCAAAAACAAAAGAAGTTGTTAAGTTGTTACAATCTTAAGTGGAACACTCTGTGTGTAACCCATATTTTCAACGCAACGTTTTAGCAACCGTGAACTACACCGTTTTTAAATTTAAATTATATTTGAAAATGTAAAACACATGGAAAATTTAGTCAGAGACTAACCAGTGACTTTTTTTAATTAGGTGGTAGGAGGAAGTAGGACTAGATTAATTTGAAATGTTTTCTACCTGACAAATATTTGCCCCTTTTACTAAATTTCTTTTTAATAAACATGTGACAAACTGAAATTTTTTTTAAATTTGTTTGAATTATGTTAATATCTTTACAATCAAGTAAAACCATGGCACACTATTGTCTGCTATGTCTACTATTGTAGAATATGTTTTTTAAGATGTTAAGATATTTAGTAATTAGTGACGTTGTCATTGGAATAGATCTGAGAAGTTTCGATTGAAAAAAAAATGTTATGTTTCGAAAACTGTCATTAAAAGTCGACATTATCGTTAAATTTTCAGTTGATAAAATGAGACATTTTTGTCACTTAACTGCAAAATACTTTTATGTTCTAGAACGCCATAGTCTTTTTCGTTCTAGAACAAAAAATCAAATTAATTTGTCATTTCTTCGAAATTTATTTATGATTTTATTAATTAAACAATGTACATTTTAAGTAATAGAACATTTCAATACAAAACAGTAACTATTATAAACAGGACGATTACAATTTATTTTGCACTACAAGTAAATTAAAAGTGCCGATGTTGCAGTGAGTTAAATTTATGCCGAATCCAGTGCTGTCAGTTATCGTAGCTTTTAGTTCTGGATGGTTCAATGAGGCTGCTGCTGTAATTATTTAAGTTTACTGCTCAGGTTGTATTATTGGCAGGTTCCGTAGACTCTGCTGAAGCTGGTAACAATTTATTTGCGAGTGAAATTTTATTTTGTATAAAATCTTCTACGCCACCCCCATCAAGAATTGTATATAAGACAATAATTCTTGACCCTCCCATGTCGTATAATGGTGGTAACATCGGCCCCAGCGTCGGCTAACAGAGTGGCGGAAGAACGTCTAAAGCAGTGCCCCATCTATAAGTTTTCGGATAAGGCAAATTGAGATAAGTTGCTATTTCTTTTGGCACATTCCTTATTTTGTTGACACCAACCACTTGGTTAACATTTTTCCCTAACATACGTCACAAAAAATCTTCGGCTTTTAGTAACTGCCGGACGTAAAGCACAGTATTTGCGGTATATCTTCATTTGGTCTGGACTTGAAATCACAAAACATCTCGGAGTATGAGTTTTAGAATCGAGAATTCTTATAATAACAATTGATCGTTATCTTTAGTAGGTATAGCTCACCTCTTCGCAAAGCTCCACAAACACCACTTATTAAAATGACCTGAAAAGTTGTCCAAAATTAGTTAAATCGGTCAATTTGTATTAATTTGAATTAACTTTTCCAGCAGAAATCAGGTGCTTCTTGTAAAAATTTCTCAATTTCATCTCTCGTTAGAATTCTCGATTTTTTTCGGCCGCTATCCAACTGATTTGCTTTTCAAATATGGTATTAGTTTTGGAGATTTTCTGATAATTACATTTTTTTGGGGGTCGAAGGTTTAATTTTATTAATGTTATATTCGAAATATTCTTGTATTACTGCTTCGGAGTGACTTTTCTTCGAACTAACCACCCTTTGAAATCGTTGTAGGCAATCTCGTACTGTCTCGACGAATTAATTGTAAAACAACGCTTTGTGCCGCTTCCAACACTTCTCCTGGTAAATGCTGGTCTTCACTTTCCAAGCTCATTTTGAATTAAACACTTTTAGAATAAGAATGACAATATACAGGCTGTCCCCAGTTCGGGTTGCCTATACCTGAAATGGATACAAAAGTTCAATTGTCAAAAAAAATCATTCTTCATAAAAATATTTGCTTGTCCAGACGCCCTTGGCAAGATAGTCATTTGTTCAATTTAATGTACAGAGTGTTCAAAAATCTGGAAAAGGTAAAAACAGTAAAGAGTAAAGTACCTTAAATCTCAACGCTACGTGAAAAAGTAATGGAAAAAAGTTGCTTGGAATTAAATTTAATGTTTAAATATGAAAGCATGGCTCTCTACTTAATACTCGACATTCTGGGATATTCTAGGACTCTACTTTTTAATACTTTCGGAGAAGCCATTCTATTTAAAAAATATTGCTTTATTGAAAACAGATATACATGTTTGCATATTAATAATTTATTTTTTTATACAGGGGATCAAAAACCTCAAAAACATTAATCCAACATTGTTCTTCTTCTAATTCTGCCCAGAAAAACGTGTCTAGCATCTCCAGGTACGTATAATGATTTAAATTTGCTTAAAAAAAGTATGGCCCAATTATTCGGTTGAAAGGAATCGCGCACCAAACATTTACTTTTTTAAACCTTTGACTTCTTGAAGTAACTGTAAAGGAAGGTTTTTCTTGCGACCAAAAACAACAATTTTGCGACGATATCACTCCATTGATAGAAAAAGTGGTTTCATCGGAAAAAATGATATTTTTGTGAAAATGTCTATCTACCACAATCCTTTCTCCTATCTCTAAACAGAACTCCAAACGATGTGCATCATCACCAACTTCTCAATTACTTTTGGTTTGAAAGCCTTAAACTTATTTTCTACCAAAATCCTCTGAATATGTGTCTTGCTAACATCGGTTTGTTTAGATATCTTCCTTAGTGACAATCTCGGGTTTTCTTCTACCGAATTGAAAACTAGTATTGTGGCTGCATCATCGTCATCGTGTCTCTTTTTTCACCTTTTTAGGTTTTTTACATCACCAGTTAAATCAAATTTTCGAATTAGTTTCCTCAGATTTTGGTGGGTATTTTTCATGAAACAATTCAATTGCTTGGCTATAAGAAATGTTACCGATACCGTAACATTTAACAAGATAAATACGATGCTGTAAAGTAAGCATTATTTGAATAAAATTAAATATCAACATCTAATTACACAACTAATGTC